AAGTGCAGAGGGACTTCGACTCAGCTGATCCAACATCTGGATTGGCTGAGCCGAAGCTCCAGAAGCTCACTCACTGCCGTTCGCCCCCATGAGTGAGTGAATAACCGAATGCCACTGAGCGGCATTCAGCTCGGCTGTTCTGCTCGGTACTTCTGAGGTACCAAGCAGAATAGAAAATAAGTGAAATTAATGATTAAAAAAAGAGTTGAACAATGATTTTAAAAATGTAAATAAATAGGAAAAAAATTAAAACAGTTTAAAGAAAATTAAAAATAATAAAAGAAAACGCTGGCAAAGATCCCGGCAAAAGAGAAACAATTGGGCGCAGCTAGCAGTGACAGCTAGCTCCGCCCAGCTGTTTCCTATTGGCCGGTACCTGCCAGACTTGGCCAATAGGAAATGCATATGCCTTCGGCTTGGCTGAGCTGCTCGGCTGCCTTGGGCTGCTGTACTGGCTATTGTAAATAGCCTGTATTGTGAATAGCCTGTACAGCAGCCTTTCGGTTCGACTGAACCGAAGGGCTCCGGCGGCCGAAGAGAGACGAAGAATCCTTCCGCTCCATAGTGAATAACCCCCTATAGTTTATAATGAGAAGCTGGTGGCATAATGTTTCACAAAATGATAAGCTTAAGTTTTCTGTGTATTTGAATGTGGATTAGACATAATTAAGGGAATTTATCAAAATTGGAGCAGACAGAATCTGGAGCAATTGTCTATGGCAGCCAGTCAATGTCTCTCTTTCATTTTGAAGAGAGAAGGTAATTGTTTGCCATGGCAACTGCTCCGGATTTTGTCTGCTTCAGTTTCAGTTTTGATAAATGCCCCCCAATATATTAAATGCATATTTTGAAAGTTGGCTTGATGTAGGTGTGAAAAATCTTGAAACAAATACATATGACAGTAATACAATGTTAAAAAGTTATTAGCACGTCTGCACAATGGGTGTCAGGAGAAATCTATGCCTGGTTACCACCTAACGCAACAAAGCAAGTACTCAGCCTGCATATTGTTACAAAAATGATTTTTTAACACAACCGCTTACATTTATACAGCTTAGGAGCAATACAAATCATTTTCAGAATGAATACTGCTTAAGTGCCTAACTCTACTGCAACAGTCTTCAAGATTTTGAGCACATATATCCAGCAACTACCTGTCCCATAAACTGCCTGGCACACTAGCTGGAAAATTACAGTTCTTCACACTGCTTATAACATTTATCTCTCACCAATGATAGCTTTTTTATTACTATTTTGGTTTGGTGAGAGTTAGTTCTTTTAGGGAGGAATATAGTCACAACATCCTTACAACATTTGGCTCTATATAAAGTGCACTTTGAACTGTATCTTTCAGCAAAGAGTCACCCTAATATTTCACAACTATGTGGATACTGCCCTTTGTGGCCCTAAGTTATACTTTCTGTCCAACACCCAATAGGAGGGCAGGAGCTCTTAAGCATTAATAATCAAACCCACATATGACCGTTAATAGAAAGGAACTCCAGCACATCTGTGTTGTTTGTAGCTAGGTGGATGTTATAAAATGGAGCAAGTATATTTATGTTCTTATTGCATATAATTAATGTGTTCAATGGTGTTTATTATGGTGGGGACTACGCTATAAAAATATATATATATTATTTTTTTGTACTTTTTGTCAAGTAAATGTGAAGTGTCGCATATGAATATTTCAAAAATGTTTTACAGCCAGTGTTTACAGAGCTAAATTACTCCAACTCAAATTCATACATTCCCTGTCTGTATTATCTATATTTATTACTGGTCTTAAACCATTTAATTTGTGCATACATTGTTGAGCTGTATCTGTTGTAGAATTATCACAAAATACTGGTTAATAAATTAATAAAGTTCTGCTTCTACCTCTTTTACCACCAGAAACATAATGGTTATGGTGGAAAAATCTTCTTCCAGTGGGTCAGGTCAACAACCCTTATGACAGCTGCAGTCCCTTAGGCTATAAGCTCATGGTCACTTCAGGGACCATAAGCTTTTAGCAGATGAGTCCCCCAGCCTCTTCCATAAGCGTATAGCAGAAGAGTCACCCAGCCTCTGCCAATTCATGAATAGTTGTGATCAATGGTTGATAAGCCAATGGTCACAGCAATTCATAAAAATGTGACACGCTCTCTACTTGTGCTCTCTTCTGCCCATGGTCTTTTCTTGCTTTCTGTCCTGCTCTTGAGCCCACCCCCCAAACCTTTATGGAGATCATCCATGGTCTTGGCTTCTTGACGGTCATATTACTGGCTTCTCTGCTCTGGATGGCAAGCAGGGAGCTAATTAAACACGCCTGTCATATTTATCAATCTCTTTCTGTATGTAAATGAACATGGAAGAGCTTTGTACGGAGTGGCAGGCAGGAGGTGAGCAGGGGATTGATGTATATAGTGTCACCAATGCAATAAAATTAACAATAACATTAACAAAATAACATTATAGCAATAAAATAAAAAATACACAACCCCCCGCCAAATATTCACACAAATTACACACACATAACATACAGAGGGTTATTCACAAAGCTGCTGAAAGATCCAGCCGTAGCTTCGGCTGACCCTTCGGCTAGCTTAAGTTACGGGAGGCCTTCGGTTCAGTAGAACCGAAGGGGTGCTGCACGGGCTATTCACTATAGCCCGTACAGCTCCCGAAGTTGGCCAAGCGGGCCGAACGGTCGGCCATTGGCCGGCCGAAAGCCTGCTACTGACAGCTGGGCGGAGCCAGCCGTGATCTCATGGCTGGCTCCGGACAGTTGCACTGACAGTTCAGCGTCCCCTGGTTACCAGGTAACCAGGGGGACGCTGGACTGTCATGAGAGGTCAGCGGAGGAGCCGGCGGTGATATCACTGTCTAGTCTAGTGTGCCTTTTCTTCTTTCTGCAATAACTCTACCCTTATTTACAGAAAAAAAACCTACAGAGAAATTCCTCCCATGGAAGTGTTAATCCTTGGGAGGCTCAAATAAGTATTTATGAAACATATGGTGATGGTATGGAAAAAAGGAAAATGGATCACTCCTGATGCAGATTGGGGTTTTGGTCTTGTTCTGCAAAGGGTGTTTCTTCTATTCAATCAATGTTGTATGTGAACTTAATCAATGGAAAGAGATGATCTTTGGTGGGTCTGTGGTTGTTCAGTGGAAATTTGTATAAGTGGCTGTCACTTGTGCTGAGTGATCAGATGGTGCTGTAGTAGAGAACGGCTCAACTGGCCAGGCTGAGCCGTAACAGCTATTCGAGTGAAGATCATGCCGTCGGGCACACAGGAGCGATGTGCCACTATAGATAAAATACAGAGTCTGGGAGGAGGATGGACTGGAGTACAAGCGGGGTGCAAAGAGACCCCTATTCACCAGCTATTCGGCTGAGCTGATCCAGATGTTGAATCGGCTGAGTCGAACTCCTTCTGCACTTCGGGTCAGCCGAACATGCTGAGCATGGTCGGCCAACCCGTAGCCAGCCGATGTACAGGTGAAATCAGCTGTACAAGCCAGAAGTGAATAGCCGAACAGCGTTCTGCTCACTTTAATTCGGGTCGGTTATTCACACGGCTGCCTTCAGCAGCTTTGTGAATAACCCTCACAGTTTCGGATCTTACATGATCACAAAACTGCACAATTTAACATTTTTAAATATTTGTTATTTTTTTAGCTTAATTTTATCTTTATGCTTAAGATTTAGTAGTAATTTTATTAGTTACATTTCAGTGTGTTAATAATTTTAGTGTACTTTTGTCGAAAATATTGTTTTGATAAACATTTGTGCAACTATTATGGGGCATTGCACCTATGTTTTTATATTTGGTTTGGGGGGCCTTTAACAAACTCTAAAAGCTTTAAGCGAAAAATGGTCTGACCACCTGAGTTTAAAAATGATGAGCAGGGCCTGGGTTAATGCACTTGTTTGTACCTTTGCAAACATTTTATATTCTAAAGCTTTTTAAGTTAAACTGTACAAAAGACCTTTCTGTCTATATTTAGAAGATAAAACAAGTGTTCTACATTTGCAGTTAACTGACCTTGCAGATAGCCAAACAGTTCTCATATCTGTAATATTGTACTTCTAACTAGCTACTAATTCAGTATCATTTGGAAAGAGGTATGCCTGTGTTCTGCTCATCTTGTGTTGCTATTAAAATAAGATATTGTTCTATCAGAATATGCTCCTAATCCAGGAACCTTTGTTAATAGTTGCTAAATTAGGTCTTTTCATGTCTGTTTTTAGCAGCATGAGGATAAAAGAGAACACTTACCCTATAGTTCTTTAAGTTTTATTTGCCCCATTGATATCTTGTTTCTATCAAAGCTGAGTCACATAAAATTTGGGCAGGAGTCTGTATAGCTCTGAAATGTGATTACTTCTGAGTTTGATATTATATTTGTCAGAAACAATCTGGATGATCCTTCCCATTTCCTATTGGAAATAGTGAACCGCAAGCAAGTTAGTCAGGCAAGTTGTGTGACATCATAAGCAGGTCCCAGTGCATTTAGAGATAAGCAAATGTCTTTCCACCTCCCAGTCTCCCAGAGACATCTATCCATATACAGACAGTCTTCTGTCTTATTGATCCGATGACAAAAAATAAATAAGTTAATAAATAAACATCTACTGGCTGTGACTTGATAAATCTGTGTCAAATATCTAAGTTGGTGGACTAGTTTGTTTAATGCGATCATAATGCTCTAAATTAATCTTGTTTTTTAATGAAATTAATGAACAGATGAAATTATTTCACACTTCTATAAAAATTGTCATTGGTAAAGTCATTAATAAAAGTGCATTCAGTCTTGTTTACATTGAAAAGAAATATGTTAAGTTGTGTTTCTATGGTATCTTGGAATTTGTCCCAACATCTGCTCCTTCCCTCACCTCCTGTCATGATTCATTATTCATATACACAACATATGTTAAAAGTATATTTTCTTCACTTATAATCAAATAAGTGCAAATTTCTGAAAGAAAAAAACCTTCACAATGTTTCACTTTTTGAAAATTACAGTTTTTCAAGCTACTGATAAAATTACCTTAAAGAAACTCTTTTCTTTATGACCCATGACATCTACTCTACTGTACAAATATGATGATGCGTTAATATAACATACTTGACAAAAGTATTATAGAAAACCTCAAGTTGACAGATCTTTTATTTAATTGGAAATCAATTTCAGGTTTTATAGTAATTGTGTATTCCCTGCATTCTCACTTCAAGGACAGTGATTTAGCAAACACAAAGTGTGGGGAATTGTTCCCTTTAGTGTTGTAATGAAGACATTGTATAATTTGCGCAGTTTAAATGTAATCAAGGTGCTAAGTTCTCAGAAATTAATTGCCTAATAATCCATCTTCCTTTATTGGTTGCTTGTCTGGAGATTTAGAAGTTTTGCTATTAGCTTTACAAAACCTGGTGGTATCCACTACCTAAAATGGTGGAAATGTTTACAAAGATGAGCCTACACATTCTTTTTATCCCAAGCAACCAGAAAATGAAGAAAAATAAGATTTAAAGTTAATTGATCCTTCATTAGCTGCAAATTCGTTCTTTTCTTTTTCTTTCTCATTACACTTGATGGAAGGAAAAGCAACCATCTGAAATTGGAGTCATTCTAATTGGAGCTTATACCGGGATGAAAACTTTCTTCATGCCCATGTGAGCACTTGCCTATCAGCCAATCACTAACCCTTGCACTGCATTTTTTTTATAGGATACCTTTAAAAAGCAGTTTTACTTATCTTTTGCCCCCACAGCAGCTGGCACTTCCCTCTGATGAATTGGGGTGTGGAGGGTCCCTCACCAACCTCACTTTGCCACTGTCAGAGTGGCAAATGTCAGGACCAGCTGTGGACACACGCTGTCAGAGCCAATAGCGACGAGTTGTTTCACCTTTAGCAGCCGCTGTTCCCATAAGGCAAGCACGCCTACCGGTACTTGGATGCCTCCAGTACTAAACTATTTGATCAGGTGATGCCACAGACTGGCCCCCAGGAGCAAGGAGAATTACTGACAGATGTCAAGGTACAAGACGGTAACAGGAAACAAATACAAGACAGAAACTAATACAAGATAAATACAGGATACAGGAAACAAGACAGGTATAGCATTAAAGATCCAAGGTAAGACTAGGTTGCAAGATCAAGGCAGGACTGGGTTTCAGGATCAGGATACAGGTTTGTATAGACAGAATAAGACAAGACAAGACAAGACTGGAGCTATCACAAGCCCAGAGCTCTGGGCTTGTGATGCTTAAATAGAGCACCACTAACAAATGCCCATGCTGTGAGGGGTGTGTAGCCAGGCTGATTAGCCTGCAGCTGGCTGGACTATGGTAGGTGCAATTACAAGAGGCAACCACCAGATGGAGCTGAGTGGTTGCGACAGGGATAGAAGCATTTGACATACTCCTAACAGCAAATAGATGTAGCTTCAAGGGACCAGTCACAAAGAGGAGTGGAATCCTGCGGAATCGAGGGATATTGTAATTCAAACTGCTTTTTAATGGACAAAAATAGCATTTATTCTTTGCAGTATGGAGGAACCTCGATGCATAAATAGTTTAACATTCCCCCCATAGTTGAGCTTAAAAGAAGAAAACTGGGAGAACTAAAAAACTTAGCATTGCAGTCGGGCTACCCCTTGCACTGAAAGGGTTAAGTGCTCATTTTGTCTAGGGGGCTCAAAAAAAAAGCTAAAGTACTCACCATGATCCTTTCTCCCTCTGGGCTATTAGACCAGTCCCTGCAGCTTCTTACCCTCTGGGCTCACTGACATCATCACATCTCAAACTGGTCCACTGACCTGCATTAGATGTGAGGACACTGAGGGACATTCCACAGCCGGAGCTTAGGGGAGAGAGGTGAGCACTGACTATCGCAGGACCATTGATCAGGTTAGTTAAACTGCTTTATTTGAGCTCACTGGACAAAATGAGCACTTAACCCTTGCAGCCCCACTGCAAGAGTAAGTTTTTTTCTATGCAGAGTTCTTCTTTAAGCTATCCTGTCAATTGGACCTGCAAAGGCAGAACATGAGTTATATTTGCAATATATGGATTTTTCTTCATTTTCACCATTTATATGCCATTTTTTTTATTCACATGCAAATGTGTGTAACAACAAATAATAACACAACTTACATGATGGTGCTATTAATAGTTTCATATTAAAAAATAGATATTATAGTCCATAAAGTGTTTATCCCAAAGGAGTTTTGGTCAGGTAACAGGGGAAAACATAAAGTCAACAGTCTCTTATAAGATGCTCTAACCAAATGCTTCCACTCTCATAAAAAGAAAATACATAACTTTTCATCAAATTTCATGCATCTGGGCCCCTGATCCCTAGCTGAAGAATACATAAGAGCAGTACCTCTATGAAAATATTGAGATTCTAGTCTGGCAAAGGGTTTGAGGCCACAAGGAACTCCAGGGAGGGGACTGTGAAATCCCTAAAATATGTTATTAAAATTAGGTATAGCAATGCTATACTTGTTATAAGGTAAGTATTTAGTATTTTCACTTCTCAAGAGGCTCATATGCTCTTGAAACCTTTGCTAGTTGAGTGGGGCAATGGTGATGTTCCAAGAGCAGGTCATCATGAACCAGTCAGCTTTAGTTTACTGAAACAGTGCAAAGAGATGCTGGTGTGCTGCATTTAATCAGATACCAGAATACTGCAGTCAGATCAGTTACAGAATGATTTCTGATTTGCTGCTACAGTTCAATGCACTCTGCAATGTTTGTGCTGCCTTACTAAATAAACCAGCATAGCTATTGAATATGCTACATTCCAGCTTTTACAGAAAGCTTTCGTGCCCTGAAATATTAATTGTTAATATTGCACCTGCAATTGTAAATATCAGTTGATATTTGCTTCTAAAATAACCCTGAATACATGAGTCTTGTGCTGTATGCCATGTTTCTGCAGCAGTGGATATTAAACAACCTGCTTTAGCCTGACACTTGCTTACTGCAGTAAAAGACAGCTTTTCCCTCCTTTCATTTTATCTGGCATCAGAGGCTATAAAAAAGGGAAGCGCACATATCTTGTTTTTTAGATCACAACTTTTCATAACATTGTCCCTCAGAGGTACATGCATAGAGGCTGCATATTTCTCAGATGCTGCTACTGTGAAAAGACAGTGCTAGATAAATCACAATTGCTTTTGCTTCCGTTTTCATTTGTTATTTGCAGGTTTGTATTTTTTAAACAATAAAAGCTTGAAATGATGTACAATTATTGAGTGATATATAGTAACAAAATTCCCTGCAGCATCACACTTACTTAGCTCTAAGTTTTATATGCATTGCTGCTTTATTATAGAGTGCAACCAAGAAGATTAAAAAATATAATCCCAATAATTATCTTCCTGCTATAATATCTCTTCATTAAAATGAAGCAAACACTCAGCATGTACCATGTAATCCGATAAAATAATAAAATGGGGGATTTACTTTGAGCTTCACATTCAGAAGCTGATATTGTATACTTTTTTCTTTTTTTTTTTAAAGTTACAAGGAGTATTTGAAAATGTTTCCATACAATTACTATTTTGTTTCCAGATCTTTAGAAAAAAAGACTAGAAGATTACCCATATGATATTGCGTCAATTGTTTATCCATAAACAGAACTCCAATTTATACTATAAAAGGGGGAACGAAAGTGAGCAGAAGGACCTCACATCTAATTTCTCTGATATGTCACTTATGAAAATGTCTTCCAGGACATGTATGCTCCACTGCACTATGCTGGATCAGCACTAAAATGGTTTCCCTGTTTACCAAAAAAAGAAATACCCCACTTTTGAAGTTTATGTAAACCATTGCAATAATTTTTTTCTTATTCACTCATTTTGGCCTGTTAAATATACTATAAAAGTGTTATGTTGTATCTGTGCTATAAGTTTAAAAAACCTGTTGATTCTGCCAGGGGTCCATTGAGTTCACATGTTTCTATGCACTCAACGGATTTATCTCAAGCAGCATTACCATTCCTGTTTAGTTCACCTCTAAAAACTATGGAAAATATCACCCCTATGGTATGCAAAAGAGGAAAGGTTGAGGTCCACACTTATTGCTCTAGGGTGACAACACTGAACCTCCAATGATATAGTACAGTGCAGTGACTTAGGGGTCTATTCACGAAGCTGCTGAAGGATCTGGCCGTAGCTTCGGCCGATCCTTCGGCTAGCTTCGGCCCCAGGACCCCTTCGGTTCAGTAGAACCGAAGGGGTGCTGTACGGGCTATTCACAATAGCCAGTACAGCTCCCGATCAGGGCCAAGCGGCTCAGCCGAGCCGAACACATATGCATCGGCTCGGCTGAGCCGTGCTGAAAACCGAAGCTGGCCGAGCGGCCGGCCATTGGCCGGCCAACAGCCTGCTTCTGACATCTTACGGCTGGCTCCGGCCACTTTCAGAGAGATCAGCGTCCCTGGTTACCTGCTAACCAGGGACACTGTTCTCCAAACACCTAACTCTCCCTGGCGCCCCGAAGGCGGGTACAATGCTAGTTTACTATTGGCTATTGGCAAATTGAAATAGCCAATAGTAGTGTCCCAATGCTTTTCAATGGGAAAATTCTTTTTTTTTATTTCTATTCTGACATCGCTCGTGTCAGAATAAAGAAAAAAAGACACAGCGGTGTTTCTCTCCTGGGCGGCCGGGAGCGGAAGGCTCCCAGAGCGCCCGGGAGAGTTTTTTTTTATTTTCTCGGCTCACTATACTTCAGATCGGTCATTCACTTGGCTGCCCTCGGCAGCTTAGTGAATAGACCTCTTAGTGTTATCACCCTATTTAACCTAGGACAGGATGCGAGAAACTGGCAGGGTTATCAGGTAAAAGAAAAACCCACACCTGAATAAAGAAAACTAAGGCAGGCACTACATCTAAAGATTGGTAGGCTGCAATATATTGTTTTTTGTTATCTGATATAAATACACTAAGATTTACTCCCTCTAAATGGGTCATTACAGTTAGGGCATGTTCACACCATAATATTGCAAGC